CTGGAAGAATGCTTGAATAGGATTTCATTTACCTTTTTTTATGCCTTAATAGTCTTATTCTTAAGCTTCATCAGTCTAGCTTTTGAGAAAACCTCACAAAAATATTTTTCCAAGAGAACTCTCGCTCTGATAAAACGAAATAAGATTATTGCTGACAACCGAGCAGAAAAAACTGAAAGAATTTTGGTGGCCAACAGTTCATTTATTGATCGACTACAAAATAATTATCAAAATTTACAAAACGAAAAACTGAAGCAGTGCCGAAAAAGAGAAGATTCGCCCACGATCTTCGTTTCTTTATTATGCAATGTTCGCAATTTGCTGAGCAGGAAAAAAGAAGAGGAAAAGTCGGAGGCAGCGAGCCTCGTAATTAAAGCAATCAGCCAAATTAGGACGGCCCTCCCAACTTTTTGCGTCTTTCCACTTTTCTTTTCTTTTATTCCACTGCAACTCGTTTTAATCTTCATTGGGAGGAGCAAAAAGAGAAAAAAATGGAGATGACAACGTTCCAAAATGATAAAGAACCTCGAAAACCCCAGAGGGCTGAACTCTTCTTTTTTGGCTGGAAACCGAGGCAGTCTTTTTGAGAATCTTATTAGTTTCACTCAAACTCAGTGTATCCACCTTTAAAAGGTTCAGATTTTTTTAACCATCTGTAGCTCTAAATAAGGAAAAAAAAAGTTATTGAATACAAGCTCAATAAATTTGCATTCCACTAGGGCTGTCTTTTCGCCAGCTTCTTTCATTTTTTCAAAAGTTTTCCTCCGAGGTCCAAACTCGCCCATTTATGCATGGAACTTCGAGCCACAGTTTTCCACTTCGAAAAATTGTCACATTTTATGCACCTTTTTGAAAAGAATTTTCGAAATATTTTTCAGATGACTTCAAATAGTTCTTTTTCCTACCTTTTTGGGCTTAGAGACAATTTTTGAAAAGACCTTTTCTATACGTTGCAGTCGTTATGATAAATGATAGCCCACAGATTTTAACGCCGAAAGAAAGAAGAGAACCGATTGGAAGTGGAATCTCTTACAACGGTTTTGGTTTATTTCTTAATTATTCGCGGAGCTCCTGGCGTGTCATGTAGGCGTCGAAATTGGCTTCGTGCGTGAGCCGCCGTTCTTCTCAATTTTCTCAAGCAAAATTCTCCATTTGCGAACACGCGTTCATTTTTTCTCTTGTCATAAACTTGAAATTGTTATAATATTTGCTCTTTTTCCTGCATCGGGATTTTCATATCGCTTCATGAAATGAAGGATTTTTGTCGAGAAAGGTTTCCGGGTCTTGAAATTGTTGAAAATAGCTTCCCATTTGGCTTGATTTGAAATGAAGAATCGAAATTTTCTCAGAGTCATTTGAGCTTGTCTTTTTTCCGTAAAACAGAGGTTTTTTTTTTCAAATCAGAGAATTTTTTGCAGCAGCTAAAGGGTCGTTATTTCTGGTATCGGATTGTACTCTATACAAAACTTCCGCTTCGCAACTGTAGTTGTCCCTGAGATTGTCGTGCAAAAAAATGCTCCTTTTTTCTTTTTGGTTTCATTTTTTCCTAATACGAATCGCTCTGAGCGTTGCCGTGGGCGTTTTTTTTTCTTTTGAATTCTCCCAGAATTTCGGCACGTTTTATGTGGTTTGGGATTTGGGCGACGACGTCCGGCTCAATCGCCCAATTTTGAGCATTCAGTACCTTTTTTCAATCATTTCGATGGCTAATATAGTTTTTTTCCTATGAATTTTGGAAGTTTATAAACTTCACTTTGAAGCCGATTTCCGCCGCAACGTGACCGCGACGCTCAAAATTATTCTACATGCGGCCAGGCCGTTTTGAGCTATCACAAACTAAGTTTACCGTCTATTATAGTTTTTTTAAATTCAGATATAATTTTAGTGATTGAAAAAAACTCAACTCTGTTTATAGTTTGCTATCTAGTCTCTTATTTAAATCTTAAAAGAAAAAGTAAGTTTTTTTTAAACATCTTTTGGAATATTTTATCCATTGTTTTTTCAGTTTTCTAAAAATTTCCTCTTGCTCTTCAGACTGAGATATTTGTACTTTCTATATTTTCTTAAGTAACTCCGGAACCAACTGATAGTTCTTTCACGGCTGGCTCAAGGAAATATGGGTTAAGGGTCTTGACACGACTTTTTCGAAAATCTCGCGTTAAAAAAGGTCCAAACTCCTCTTTTTTGTCTTACGCTAGCCTTGAATTGAGCGAAACTCAAGATCAAGACGCTCTGCTGTAGTTTGCAGCGTAGCTTACTCTGAAAAAGAAACAAAAGCAAGCGATCCGGAACTAATGTTGACGGCTCCTCCTGGAAGGTGAAGCGAAGGAAGAAAAAGGCAAAACGAGGGAAAAAATTAAATCCGGCGAACGGATACTCGAACGCAAAAAGGAGAAAAAAAACACAGAAGCAGGAGGAAAGGAGAATTCGTCGGATGGGAACCAGTCAGCCGGGTGAAATGCACAAAAACCAAGAAATTTATTATTCGTTTTCGCTATTCGTTTCGCTTTTCGCCACTCTCATAAGCTGTGCGGCTGTTGTGACCAGCCTTATTCCTCGTTTAACGTTCCTTTTTTTCTGCCGCTTCCGCTGTGAAATTAGACGTTTTTTGTCGTTTTTCTGAAGAAAATTTCGTTTTTTCAAGCTTGATTCCTGTCATCAATAGCGGTTTATGGGGAGTGAGACGAGAATTGAAGAAGATTCGAGCTTATTTTTGGCGATTTCTAGCATTTTTTGCCCGAAGATGATCTGCAAATCTTCTTATGTTATGTATAATCATTTTTAGCTGTCTGATTCATGGAACACATAGCACTTTAAAGTGCTTTTTCGATTTGAAAAAAATGTTCTCCGATGTTTTTCTAAAACTTCCAGATTTTTCCATTCTTCTCTTCCTTTCGCATTGTTGGTTGATCAACTGTTTTGTCGGTTCCAGATACCAGATGGACTGAAAAACGCTTTTTTGTGTTTTCGCGGTGTTATTTGAGTAGTTTCAATCATCCCTTTTAGAGATCCGGTTCAGAATACAGTTCAAATGCAGTCGAGATTTTACACGGAATGAAGATATTATATGGAACTTGGAATCAGTTTTGTAGGACAGTCTTGATTTCCAGTTAAACTCAAATGTGCAAAAAAAAAGAAGAAAAAATTTTATCGATTATCAGTTATATAACGAAAATTTATTTCAAAACTTTAGTTCTCTTTTTTTGATCCGCCAGAAGCCGATGACCCCAAATTCTGACAAGAAAAGAGAATCTATGCGTTTTTTCACTTCCACTTTTTTAAAAATTAGTTTTGCCATATAAGGTTCTTTTGGAGTATTTTTTTCCGGAAGTCTTATTTTTCTAATGTAATACAGAAGAGTTTTTGCAATAATTTTTCTTTATCAAAGTTTTTTCTGTAAATAATGTTCGTTTATAAAATTAAAAAAGAATCGATGAAACTATGTGACCAACTTGGGCGGAGAAATTCGCGGGTTATTTTGTATCCATCTGGCGCTCCAAGAATTTGTCGCTTTTGTCGCCTTCTTCATAGATTTGTGCATTATTCGGTTGGGTTTTTGGGGCGTCCGGAAAATACTGAATCATTAAGCACCAGCCCTCGGCCATTTCAACCATAACCTGACGCCTATTTTTTTGAGCCTAGGTTTGACATGTTTTTTTCTGTATCACAACAATATTCAGAAGTCATTAGAATATAATTTTTTTCGAAAAGTTTTACATAGAAATATTGGAAAGTTCCTTCAGAAAGTTTGCGCGAAAACTTTTTTTAGTTGAAAGTTGAATTTTTTTTTTAATCTTTTATTTCTTATTTGTGAATATTTTCAAAATTTCCCACATTAATATTTCAAATAACTTCTTTTTTGATGACCGTTTTTATTGTATCCCCATTTTCGACTTTTTTTGAAAAATTTCTCATTTGGTTTGGCTTCCTTTAATTCCTCACTTTAATTGTTTCTTCTTTTTAGAGGACGGATTAAAGATTCAAAAATTAATTATTGTTAGGGGCTAGAGAGAGAATATAATAAATTTAAGATATGCATTTATTTTCTCCTCATCTACATACCTTCCAAACGTGATTCTGAGCTTTGAAGACATTGTCGCGTCCGAATAATCTCAAGTTAAAAAAATAAGTTGAAAACAAAGGTCCTTCCAACTTTCGTTTCCGGTGCATCATGTGTTTTTTTCTACAACTCCCACGGTCATTTTGACGTTTATTTTTGTTTCTTATCTCTGTTTTAGCGTCAAATTTCACTTTGGGGGATGGTACTGGACTAATCGTTTCTAATCGTTCGAAAAAAAAATGATAAGCCAAATTTGGTCGCCGTTTGTCCGTTTATGACACACATGGGCCATATAAAATGGTTGATTTTACCTGTTGAAGACGTTCTTTTTTTGACACTTTGAAATAGGGAAAAAATCTTTATTTCATTTTTTATAGGCTTTCCTTTTTATATTCTCACACGAACGTTAAATCTCCGGGGGACGCCGTTTGTCTAGTTTTTATTTTCGTTTTTTTGATATTTGGACTCTCTTTCCACTGACTTTTGCGCCTACAGTTTAGTAAATTAGAAAATATTATTCTATGTTTTTATCTTTTCTGAAAGTATATTAAGTTGACACACTTTTACCGAAACTAACAGGAAAATATTTTTAATATTCTTTTTTTGAGTAGATATTTCGAACTATCTAGTTATTCTTCTAGATCATTAGATAATTTAAAAAAATGAAATTTTTTCGTAGTTTGAAAGTCAAAAATATAATATAATTATCGAATAAATACAATATTTTTCTTCGAAATAACAGTAAAATTGCAAATAACGTGGCGTTTTTAAAAAAAATAAAGGCCGGAATAATTTTTTTCCAACTGTTTTTTTGAATTAAAAAAAAAACTTTATAGACTTTATCTAATTTATACTTTTTTTTTGAACACGTGACGCAAGATTTATAATCTTCGAACTGCATTTCATTATTATTCTTGTCGTGGAATAAGATATTATGTAGATGAAGAGGTTGTCTAGAAACTTTTTTTGGTCACTAGAAAGCTTGAAAATCTAGTTAAAGACACGATTTTTTGGTTTTTTTTTTCACTTCTGATCAATTTCCTGATGACAAAGAAAGCACGGAGAGGATCAAAACTGGGTTTTGGTCCCTTTGAAGGTGTAAAAATATTAAAAGAGCGTCTGCTGGAGGTGAAGAAAAGACGACGTCTCCGCGGAGATCGATGCGCAGCCGCGGCCCAAGCTGCTCGCCTGGGACCTCCGCTCTCTCGACCAGGCAGAAGCTGGCCTGGAGCCTCTTCTCCCTCTCCCTTGCAATTTCTTTATCGGCTCCCACTCGCGTTGCCGAATCAAGATTAATCGTAGAACCGGTCTCTACTGGCTCCGGGACCAAACAGTCCAAGACACTCTAGGCGTCACTTCTATCAAATCACTCATCAACGTCCACTCGACCCCTCAAACTTGAAGAAGCCCTTCGTTATTCGCAGTCACTTCGAAGGCTTCTTTCGCGAGCAACGACGCTGCATTCTTCGCTAACCAAGCCATGCCGAGGTCGTCGAATCGGAAGACGTTCGCCTCGATCGACGGCACGGTCTCTTCCCGGGCCACCAGTCCTGCCTATGCGCCGCCGGTCACCAGCTTCACCTCGGACAACTTGGCCAACAACAACAGCGATCCGATTTTCGGCCCGACCGCAGCTCGGCCTCCTTCGCTGCCACAACTGCCACCTAAACGTCAGGTTCCGCCGAGGATGGGACTTCTGAGACATCTTTCGGGTTTTCTCGACTCCAAGAGAGGTCGGTTCAGTGTGACCAGTCACGGAACTTATGTGTCTGGATAGGTTCTGCAAGTATTCTTGAACTTCTTGAAGTATAATTTTTTTTACAGTTTCGAAACCTTTACTCAAACTTGCACCTGCTATAGAATTTATGTCTGGATCGGAAAAAAAAAACCAATTCATCTGTTTTCGGTTAAAGATGAAGCTTGACACTGTGCATAGAAACCTTTTTTATTCAAACTATTTTCGAATTCCAGATAAGCTTTTTTGAAGTTACAATTTGTTTCTAAGCGAATATGTATTTTTAAAGTTTCTATCGCTTTCTACTTTCATCTTCATGAATTTGGTTCCTTTTATGATGTTATCTTTTCGAGCGGAAGTTCCCTAATTGCCTTCATTGAGAGTAATTAGTTTGATAATTAATCTGTTTCTTTATTTGAACTAGACCTTTTATCAGTATTTCTTTTACCTTTTTCTACTGGTCTTACCTTGAATCGATCTTTACATTTCTTTGAATTTCTAAAACACCTGCCAGCCAAGAATTTATTTTCGACTCTTAACTTTTTCTCCTCTTTTCTCGCTAGGGACTCTAGAAAACTTACTATTTTTGTCTTAACTCGATGTTTGGTTCTTTCTCCTTAATTGGGTAAGCTCTTAAGGTCTACGTTTCATCGGAGAAGTCTGAAATAGGATAGGACTGGGCTTTGAGATTGTTGAGAATCTTTTTGGAGAATGAAAGATTCTTCTGTATTTCCTTCTCTTGGCTGAATGACTATTTAATTTGGGAAAAACGGCTCCAAAAGAGGCAATCTTGAAAGAGCATCGATGGGTTCCCAGCGCAAAGCGTTTGAATTGAAAATTCGGCCGGATCGAATTAAGGCCGAATGTCCGGCTTCCAACGGATGTGATAAATCGGCGCTTTTGCTCTTTCCGCATTAGTAATTCTAAATTTTTTTCTAGAATTTAGTAATCGGAAAGGATTAAGAGAGATGTTGAAAAAAATGCCTTTATAGTAAGAAGTTTGTACGTTAAAGCTGTTTCTAAACCAAATAAAGTTACAAGAAGAAGGGAGAATACACTTTTTCCGATTTCGATTAACATTTCAAAACGTTCAATGATTTTTTTAAAAACAAATTCATTTCTAATCAGAAAAAAATATAGCACGTTTTCACTTGTAAATTTGGATGTTTCTGGGCAAAAAGCTTTCAAAATATAAATTTATCCCGGTTCGGCCGGATTTCTTATGACAATGAGTATTAGCGCACTTCAAAGCTCATTTTTACGGATTGTCGTCAACCAAATATTTTGAGCTTGGCGAAAAAGACGAAAGGCGTCCGAAATTAAAATAAGCGTGTTAATCCACTGGAACGTGATTTTTGTTGCTATTTTTGAAAGCTTCATTCCGGCAAGTCAAAAAATAAAACACAAAAACAAATGAGCCATTAGGGCTTCTGTTGACGTCACAACAAGAAGAAAAACTTTCGAAACTCGAGACCAATTTGAATCACGCGAGTTTTTTCGGATTTTAACGCACTTTTTCGAGGACTAAATTGCGAACGTCATGAAATAAATTGGTTTCTGAAACACTCGTGGAAAATTCACTGGAGAGACGGAAAAGAGTATCATGAGAAAAGGTTGATTTCAGATCTGATGAATGATTGGGAAATTGGCGGAACGCAGAACAAATGGGTGTGTCCGAGCGACCGACATCTCCAATTACGGGCACAGTGAGATTTTTCGAAATTTTTGAGTTCAGAAGATAAATAATTATATTATTGAATTGATGTTTTGAGGGTTTCATTTTGTGTATCTTGGTTTTTTTTTAACTTCCTTTCTCAAAAAAGTAGTTAAGTGCTCATTTCTGGGAAAACCTTAGTCAACTGAAAAAAATATACTCTTAAAGTTATTGAAAAAGTTGATTCATTGCCCTTTTGCTTTGAAATTTTTTTCAATTTTTTTATTTTTAAGGTTAAAAAAAATCTTGTTCCTCGTTTTTTTGCAAAAAAATTTAAGAACAAGATCGTTTCAATCACGAAATATTTTTGTCAGGAAATGATCCGATAAATGACTTTGGCGGTTTCCCTTCAACTTTGAAAAATATGTAAAAATAAAGAAATAAAAAAATCCAGGAAAAAAGCAAACATTTTTTTCGAAACATTTCCTAGTTTCAATATTTAAAGCATCATCTAAAAGCTTTCGAATATGTGTATAATATTTTTTTATTATTTTTGGAATTCGAAAAAAACAAGATATTATTTGATACACAGATGTTTCAGAGCGGTAGATTACCGACTAGAATCACACTTTTTTAATAAATCTGTTATTGAGGGAAACTTTTTCTTTATCAGTTTTCGGCGTGTTCAAAACAACTTAAAAGCATCGAAAATTATAATTCAGTATTTGTTTTGAAGTAACTTGAATCTCTCAAGGGAGTTCGCAAAAACGATTTAAAGAAAAAAATATTTATTTTTTTCTTTAAATTTTTTTCAAAAAAATTTATAAAGAACTGAGTAGAACAGATCTAAATCAATATTTAATCAGAAAATAACCTCAATTTTACTTCAAATATATTTTTTCGCTCTCTTCTCGAAGTGTCCGCCAAAGTTCTTGTGAATTATTGAAGGGTTAAAACTCGATTTGAACAAAAATATCGGGGTTTTTTGAGTTATTAAAAAGCGACAACGGAAACAAACATTTAATTTTCCACGTTTCAATCATTATATGTTGAGGCTGAAGTCGGGATGGTCGGTAAGAACAGCTACGGCGAGATCTCCGACAAACTCCAAAGGAACCAATGGAACGATAACGGAAGCAGAACAAGAACACATCCGACAGGTCTTTTTTTGGATAATTTTCCATAATTCTAGTATTTTCATTGTTACCATCAGAGCTTTAATTTTTTCGAACGAAAAGAATTTTTCAGGTGCTCGCAAAGGCGGAAGAAAGCAGAAACAAGGAGCAGCAGAGGATCGGGTGATTTTATTGAGAAAAGAATTTTTCGAAAAATGGAAAAAAAGAACGTTTCAGAAAAAGTTAAAATATGGGAAAATTAACTGAAGAATAGTTTTGATATATTCTTTCAATTCACCTATTTTTTTCATCTTTTTTTCGAATTTTTGTTTCAGCTTTAGGAATCTCGACATTTTTTTCTAGCAATCAGTTCCCTAATGAACTGCCAATTTCCACCAAGATTTGACAAATTGAAACTGACAAAAAAGGGCTTTTCGCTTTCTTTACACATTTTGCGCCCTTAGCTCAACTTCTAGGCTCTTTTTTAGATTCTCTCTTTTTTGGAATTGTTAGTTTTTCTCAATTTGAAAGTCATTATCAGGATTATTTCAACTTTGAAGAAAAAATAGAAAGGAAAAGAAGAAAAATGTTCTCATTCTCACTGTGAAAAATTTTTTTATTCTTTTGAATGATTAGATAAATTTTTAATAGTTAAAAGTATCAAGGACATTATTTGTATAGTAATCAGTTTCGCAAAAACGATTTGGACCTGTTTAAAATAGTAGTTTGGATTTTGCCTCTTACTTCAAATCCTCTGATTAAAAAAATATTTTGCTCTTATCTGATTATTTTCAAGTTGCCAGGACTCCAGTTTATTGTTAGTTTTCCTTCAGAAAAATGGTGGATAGGCTAGAAAAAATGCGAAGAAGAGCGACTGGGAACGGCGTAACGCATTGTCTTCTTTGCCATACCGAATTCGGGTTGTTGGCCGCGAAAAGCTACGCGGCGATGTGTGTCGATTGTCGGAAGGTTCAACTTTTTCTTGGAATATGAAGCAATTTTTTTGAAATTGAATGTCCGAGGCTTTTCAAAGCTTTCTCGTAAATTAAGGATTTGAGAAGCTTTCACATCAAACAGTATTTGAGTTTTGAAAAAAAAGTTTTGCTTCTGTAAGCAGCTTTTTTTTAAAAGTTCACGAGGAAGGCCTTTTCACTTCACGGTGCGGGTTTTTTTTTCAGAACACGAATTTTCCCAATCGCAAAGTGAAATGACTTCATTATTAGTAAGATTTTTTAAAACTCTAACTGTAATCAGAAAAAAATGAGCATCGAGACAATTGTAAACTTATACCCTGTTTTCAAAAGTCAAAATCAACCTTTTCCAAATCAGTTTGTTCCAGTACGTCTGCCAACGGAACTGCGGCGTCGAAACTCTGGATCCGCAACGGGGCGAAGTCGTGTTCCTCTGCAAGATCTGCTCGGAAGCGAGAGAGGTGGTTAGTGGTTCTGGGTGCTCGCTTTTCATTTTTCTTCCCTCGGTTTTTCTTCTTCGTGTGTCTTTACCACTAGCTAGCTTTCAAAGTTGATTTTGGAGGTTCACGTAAAAGTGATGTTCTACTCGAGTCTTTACTGTCTTTCTGCAAAGCACGGCTTCTCTTGCTCTTTTTCTTTGTTTCGAACAAGCTCAAAAGCTCCTTTTCGTAATTTTTCATGTAATTTTTTGTAGAAATCTGAAATTTAGCGGGGAATTTTGAAAGGGGATAGGTTTGTCGAGACTCTGAGACAATTTTCGCTGAATAGAACTTTTTTTACTCTATAGACACAAGCTTGAACTAAATTTGAACTAAGAATAGCCGTTAAAAGTCATTAATTTATAAAAAAAAATCCACCACTGAAAGAAAAAGGTGGAAGTCGAAGAGCCTTATTTCTCTCATGATGAAAAGAAATTGTTAGGTTGATTTAAAAAAAGAGTTTTTATTCAAATTGTGCGTCTTGTCTTGTTGTTCGTGAAATAGCGGCTATTTTTCTTCTAGTTATGTGCTCTATCGTGAAATTATTTAAATAAACTCATTGTCTTTTTTGTATTTGTATAGCTGAAATTCATCATAGTGGTTAGAAGTATATAGGCGGTGGGTAACATAAGAGCTGAATTTTGTCAAGTTCTGACGAATATTTTGAGCTTCTGCGTCTTCGAAAACTGTTTTCCGTTTAAATTATGAGTTATATTAATCAAGGATTGCAGTTATGGAAGAAATCCGGCGCTTGGTTCTACAAGGAGATGCCGGACTTCGTTCGTCCTGAACTCGGAAACGGAGCCCTGATGAGTCCCCCGTCGACGTCGACGGCGATGACGATGCCAACGGCGTCTTCAAGACAGCCTCAGTGGGCCATGAATTCTGCGACGACGGCGTCGGCCCTCGGACCTTCTGGACTGCCTTTTTCCAACGGCGTCGGCGCTTCGAATCGACGTCTTCCCACTGCTCCAAACGATCCAAGGTGGGCATTTTTAACAAAGGATTTAAATCTGACAATCTTGTCATTTTGATAAATACAATGCGTATCGAGCTCGAAAGTTGGAAGCTTTTGCTGATAAAACAGTTTTGCGAAGGTTCAGGCTTCGAAAAAGGTTTTTCTTGACTCTTTTTGTCATTTAATCGATTGGAGGAGATTAGTCATCTATCAAAAACAGCCACATGATGAATTGTTCCGTTCCGATCCTACGGTTTTTTTTTAAATGGAGAGGTTTAAGTACGAGCCGAGGCAGCATAGTGGCAACTTTGTGCGTGGATTCAGCCGGCGACAGGTAGATCTCAGTTTCCATAGTTTCTCTGTGTATTTTAGCACCTTTTGTTCTTGAGTTCACATGCGAGTCATGACTTTACATACACCTTGAATGTCTTCTACTTCTTCTTTCATTTTTCAAATTTATTTCGATGAATGGAGCGAATTTTTTTTTGTTACAAGGAAGGTCATTTACTTAATGGTTTAGGAATTTTTCAAAATTTAGTCAGAGAACTTTTTGATGAACCAGATAAACATTCTGGACGTCTCAAAATGCACATTTTTCCGAGAAAGAACAGGTCAAAGATAACCGCTAAAATGAGCTTTTTTTACGATAACTAGTTTCGCATGTGGAGACTTCCAGTATATTTATATGATTTATCAAGGAGAATTCTGGCCAATTTTCCGAAAATTTTCAACCACAAAGTGAAAATCGTTCCTTCATTAGCCGCAGCACGGTTGAGCATCAAACATTTCTAGTGAAATATTTTTTTGCACTTTTCGAATTTTTTGTCACAGTCGACAAGTGAAGTTTGCACAAGAAAAGCACAAAGCAAGCAAATTTTTGTAGCCGACTTCTTGTTTTGAGCATAAGCCGTGAAGTTTCCAGGCCGAGGTCGCCAAGACCGCGGATCCAGCCGAGTTGGGTCAAGGAGAAGGTGATGAGCAGCATGTCCGTGGACGATGAAGATCGGTGAGGAGCCGCTTCAGAATTCCACGAGTCTATTCAGAAGGTTCAGAAGTTCTTCGGATGGCGATGGCTTCGTCCAGTCGGGCGTCATCCGAAAACATCATCATCACAAGAATTCCTCGAGGAGAGAGGCCAATCTCGCCCGTTTTGCTCTTCATTCGGCCAGAATCAGTGACAGTGGTCAGTTGGTCTAGTAACAAAAAATCTTTGTAAATCTCAGAGATCACAGGAAAAGAAAATAACAAGTTTCCCTCAACCTCACTGAAATAGGAGGAAACGGCTCAAAAAGTTTTGTCCGCATTTCTGATGATGAACTACTCGGTCAAGTTAGAAATGACTTTTTTCTCTTTCCCCCGTTTTTTTGAAGTTTCGATTATACGAGATAAGAACTCTGATTGTTCATGCTAACTCTTCTTTGCAGAAGACGATTCTTCGCCAGAATCGCGAGGCTCGACGAGGTCGACGACTTCGCCACGACGATCCCTCGCCACGCCTTCATCCTACGACGCCGCTCCGACCCATGACGTCACTCACGACGATGCGCGCAGCATCGACAGCGGAGGTAACTGTCAGTTTTTGGTAGTTACTCTCCTTTTTTGCTCTGAAAATTCATCGGATTCAATTCGAGTATAACCTTCCTAAGACTCCTTTCAGTGAGCCTCTCACATTACCGCGTCATTTTCAGTGGTTCAATCGGACCATTCCAACCAGCAAGCGAACGCCTTGACGCTGTCGTCGTCTTCGCTGACGCCCTTCACCCACGGCTCCTTGGGCGGCGACAACGGCGGCTTGACCGGCTCGCCGCGAAGGATTTCCCATCCGGACAGCGGCCTTCCTCGCGTCACACAAAGCTCTTCTGGTACGCTTCTGAACGTTTCCGTCATTCAGTTAGGAATTTCTGATTGTGTTGGGAAACAATTGGTCAGGGTTTACATTGGTCGACTTGGAAAAAATACCGTATGCTAAAGATTTACTGCGAAATTTACTGTATTTTCTCAGAAAAATACTTTGCAAGATTACTTTGCAAGAAAGTCTTCACAGGTACATCATTGGTGACGCCTCCGCCGCTGCCACCTCGCACCAATTCGGACCATCGAACTTCAAGCCCCGCCCACTCGACAGAACATAAGATGAGCAACGCCAGTTCGATTGCCAGCAGCGCAGGTGGACCGCGACGGGTCACGCCCCTTTCCGACGCTTACAACTGCGAGCCGATCCGTCCTGTTGTTCGTTTTTTGTTAATTTTGAAAAAATTAGAAAAATAAAAAGAGATATAAATTGATAAAATCTTGTTGATTGTCGAGTTTTGCAGGCATCAGCGATCCGATGCGACTCCCCGCCCGTTTCTTTCATGAGCTCCCCGGATGACGACTCGAGTTTGTTTTTCTTATTTTTCACGTTTCACTACAGAACTTTGATAAATTCCAACTTAAATTGTCGATATCTCAAGCTGCTGCCATTGAACGCTTTTCAAAGACTGTTTTTCAATGGATTTTCTGCTTTTTGGCGCTTCCAGTTAAGATTTGAATTTATGTAGTTCTGTGTCGCGTTGCTTTATCAAGCCTAAAGTGTTTAAAATCGAAAAAAATCAAAGCTTGTTTTCTATAGAGTTTTCTATTGAAGGAGTTATGAATTTTTGCAGGCTGGAATTTTTTTTCGTGAAAATTTTTGAAAGTTCCAGCATGGTTTTATAATTTTTTTGTACGAAGATTTAGAATTTTTGTCCTGTAACAATATATTTGCTGTTTTTAGGTGAATTCATTGAATGATTTTCCATCCAAGAAAAAAAAGTCCGCGTTCAAAGTAATTTACTAACAAAATGTCAAATATTATTCGATGTGAGATTGGTTTCACAGTTTTGGATATTACTGGGAGCGATTTCAAAGTGAAGATTGTGTTTTTATTGTGTACATCAGCTCATTTTTCGAAGTTCAATAATTTTTATCCTTTTTCTAAGAATTATTTTGAAAGTTTTGTCAATCACTTCTTTACCACAGTTCTCAATGTTAAATGACGTATCTTTCTCGATTTGAGCACAATTTCAACTTTTCATCTCGCTGATCACATAAACGAAGCATGCCTTGTTCGCCGCCATCTTACTTTGAACGCGGAATTCATTTTCTGAGACATAACCTCTAGAGAACCTTTTAAAAGTGCGTGTGCTGCTTCCAGAGCTTCGGAACCGAAGAAGAGAAGGCGTTGCGCGGATCGACTCTCTCCCGCTTCGCGCCCGCACTTTCTCCCAGGAAGAAGCCCCTCTTTCGACGGCCGCTTCGACATCGCAGCTGAAGTCGCAGTCGACGCTCACCGCGACGTCGTCTAAGGACGAAGAGTCGAAGACGGAGAACGACGTCGAGGAGGCCGAAGACGTGCCGCCGGCGAATCAACACGGTGGGGGACGCGGGTCTTCCGCCTCTTCTGACGCTAGTCGTCGTGCACGTCGTGGTGGTGTTCGTGGCCTCTTTGCATGCTTCTTCTCGTCTTCCAGCAGACGTACGGCTTCTTCCCCCTTTATTTCCATTCCTTCTCTCTTCTCATGGAGTTTTTCAAATTAAAGGCATCTGGTCAATACAAATTTAGACTTGACAGAAATTTGCCCTTTGTTAGCCTTCTTCAAAAAAAAAGCTATATCTGAAAAGCAACGTAGGTTCATGAATGTTTGAATTCCCGCACAGATTGCATTTAGTGATAAAGTTGCTTCATGAGTAAAACTAATTTATTTTCTCAATTAAGTTTTTTGTTTAGTTTAGTAAACTCAGTTTAGTTTCAATCGATTTATCAGTTTGCTTGAATGATCCGGGAGGTTTTCAAGATTTCCAGAAAACACTTTTTTGCGTTCTTCAGCATTTTTCGTTTTCTAGACTGTTCTATGTTCAGAAATGCACTTCTTACGCATGAAAACTCTTCGCACAGATGATTTACTATCACTGAGACTTTCAAGTTCTTTGGTTTTCCTGTCCCTTTTATCACACATATCCCTTCAATAATTGAACTTTAGGTACACTTGGATCGATTCAGTTCAACATCACTTATAACCAGGATGACAAGAAGCTCGTAGTCCATCTCGTACGAGCCAAGGTGGATTTAATTCCTAATTTTGGAGAATATTTTTTTGGATTTTGCAGAATCTGAAAGCGATGGACAGTAATGGGTTCTCTGATCCTTATGTCAAACTTCACTTGCTTCCGGGAAACAACAAAGCGACCAAGTTGACGTCAAAGACGATCGAGAAGACGTTGAATCCGGAATGGAACGAGGAACTCGTCTACCACGGCGTCACGGAGGAGGACAAGCAGAAGAAGACTTTGTTAGCCGTTTCAGAATGTCTTGAAATAACTTTCGAGATGTTTCCAGACGAGTCACGGTGTTGGATCGGGACCGAATCGGTTCAGACTTCCTGGGAGAGACTCGAATCGCTCTGCGGAAGCTCCCGGTCAATCAAGTCAAGAAGTTCAACCTTTACCTGGAGCATGCGATTCCAGTTCGTTCTGAATGAGATTCGAGAAGAAATCCCACGTCTTCAGGTCCCTCAGCAGAAGAAGGAGGAAGAGGAGACGTTGCGCGGAAAGATCAACGTCAGCCTTCAGTACAACATCCAGCAGGGCTCCCTTTTCGTCAACGTCAATCGTTGTGTCGAACTCATCGGCATGGATTCCACGGGATTTTCTGATCCCTACTGCAAAGTGTTAGTTTCTCATCGGTTGCTTTGAATAGAGATAATCGGAAATATTTTTTTGTGTGAGCCAATGATAATAAAACATCTCCACAAACAGTGATTCAAAAAGGGCTAATTTTGTGATTCTGAAGAGCTACCTATTAAATCCTCTTCCACTTTTCCAGCTCCCTGACTCCTGTTACTTCGAAAGCGCATCGTCAACGAACTTCCATCAAGAAACGGACTTTGAATCCTGAATTCAACGAGGTTTCTTTCATTTTTATGATTGGAAACATTTTTTTGCAGACCATGCAATTCGTGGTGCCGTTCAAAGATCTACCCAAGAAAACTCTTCAAATCGGCGTTTATGACCACGATTTGGGCCGCCACGATGATTATATCGGTAGGATATGAAGAAAAAACGCAACATATCACGGAAATTTGAAGAAATGGATAAGGTAAAGCGCGAAAAATAAGGCAAACTTTTTGAAAGTGCAGTGAAACTTGCCCACTTTTATTCCTTTTTCAAGTCTGAAAGTTTTTATCAGCAGTCTGAAACAAACAAAGGATTAAACCGAAAAACCAATATTTTTATCCCGTCCCATCTCTCTTATTTCCCGTTAATTTTTTAAACGGTTATTTTCGTGTTTTTTTGAAATCTTTATGTGCTCAGAAGTTTATTTTTTTGATCTTCAAAAATAAAATAAGATCGGAAATTCAGGCGGGATCCTACTGTCGACTTCGGCAAAAGATGAACGAGGAAAACAGTGGATCACGTGCATCGAAAATCCAGGAACCTTGGTCGAGGCCTGGCACAAACTCGAGCTCGACTCCTAAAGTTCTGATTTTAGTCAATTATCATTAACCTTTTTCATTCTTACGGCTTTTAGACGTGGTTCTTTCTCTTATTCAATGTTTTCTTCCCAAAAATCCGGTTCAACGATGGCCAATTAGACTTATCTACAAAGCTGAGTCCTGCCGGGTTTTCAGCCTTCCTCTGAACATTTCTATCAGCTTCATCAGTTAACCTTTCCAATATCAAATAAAAGCTTCTTCTACGATTTTTCACTTTTTTCGCATTTTTCTTTATCATGATCATGGTTTTTCTCCGGTGTTCTATTGCATTTACCCCGATTATCACGTCTTGAGTTGAATTACAGGTGCGGACTGGTGATTTTTTTTTTCATTTTTGAATAAGTTCCAAAGACTTCTATCCTTGTTTCTAATTTTCACTTGTTTCATGGAATTTTATCTGTTTCATGGTGTGAAACATTCTTTTTCGTGTTTTGATAAAGATTTTTATGGTTTTTTTTCGGTATTTTTTGGGAGTTAATGTGGAATAATTCTGACGATTTTATTTGTTTATTGACCTCGCAGGACAGTCGTTTGCCCGTCTTCTTTGTGCTTTTCGCCGTCTCATCTGCAAACATCGAGTTTTTCACTTCTTCATTTGGATCATTGAACATTGTGAGTACTTTTTTCGGTTTTTTACTTTTCCCGTAGGATGGCTTCTTTAGAATCTATGAACAGTTTCGATAACCTTTTAATTTTTCGAAGTGAAAAACATTTTACGCGCACTCCTGCCGAGCGAAAATGAACGCTTTTTCTTCTCAAAACAAAAAAATCAAGAAGGGTACATTTTAACCAAGCATGAGAAGTTATTATGGCTGTATTTAAATCTATCTATAGATTTCAGAAGTTCTAATGTTCCGATTAAATTAAAATCGAAAAATTCATTTTTCTTTAAAAATGGAAAAGTCAAGAAGAGCAGAGTTTGGCGAGATTTCGGGTTCCTCTATGGCTTTTCTGAAATCCATCTACAGCTTCCAAAGCCTTCACTTTCTCGCGAAAAACTGCCTTTTGACTTTTGACGCCTCTGTGACTATATACATTTTTGATCAAAATCGGTCCTGGGACAACCTGAAAATGTTGGAGTGGCGGAAAAAGCGTCGCGTTTTGCAACAGACGAGCGTTTTCGGCCCATCGGCGACTATTTGCATTTGAATCATGATGCATGTCGCTCCTGGGAACAAACTTGGCTCCTTACTGACCAGCCCAATCATTTTTGATCAGCTACTGAAATGACCACTTCCTTTCTTACTGCGAATGTTTTTGTTTAACCTTAAAATTGAAGGATTTATTTTTCTCATCTGACAGCTTGTTCGAAAAAATGTCGCCCTTCGAAAACTTTATCTTTTTGTCATAAAATAGAGACTTGATCGAAATATTTTGGTAACTCATACATTTTTGAACAGACTTTTCTCTTTCTGGAACAAATTAGTTTGGATAATAATATTGGAAATTTCCAGGCATAAAGTTAAAGAGAAACATTTGTTAGAGAACTGTCAACAGACGGATAAACCTCAGAAAAATTTTCTGAAAGTTTCTAAGAAATGGTATGACCAAAACCATTTTCCTTAAGCAGAAATTGTTTTTAAGTTGAAGTCAAAAGTAAGTGATCAAGATTTATCGTTGTGCTATTGTTTCTCTGCGCCGTCGGTCGCTCATTTCTCTTGTTTCGACCGGATCTTCTGGCGCTTTGTTCTGCTTTTGTTATTATCCCTCGTCGCTTCGCAGTTTTGGATCAAAGTCTTGCACTTTTCCCAAGTTGGATTACTTTCTTTTAGCACTGAACATATTTGAATGAGTTTCTTTTCAAACCTCATTGTTTTCCTACGTGAGAAGCTTCTTCGAATGTTAACGACTTCAGAAGGAGTTTCTCACGCTCCGATTCAATTTTCTCCGTTTCTTCCGAAACTTCGAAAAAAATGAGTTTAGCAGGCGTTCTTGAATAAAACCGATACTTTTGGTGCCGTTCTTTTTTTTTATTGAAGTTTAAAAATTAGCGGCATAAAATTTTTCCAAACTGTTGTTGGCTCTCCAGGGACCTGCTGCCGTGGGTTGTTCTGAAAACTAAAATTGATCGAATTTTTCTTATTATTTTTTTATAGTTTTTGAGAAGCATTGTAAAACCTCAATTAACACTAAAACGGCTCTTCACTTTGAAAAAAATCCATGGGTTTTGGTCTGTACTCCTTTTAAAAATCTTGATAAGAATCTCATCAGGGATAGTTCAAGTCTTGAGGTTTCGATAAAAGCTCCGGTTTTTGAGATCTTCGATAATAATATTTTGCTCATTGTCGTTCACATTGGAAAAATGCTATATATAGGAATAAAATTGGAAAAATAGTTTATTTGGGAATAAAAATCAGAAAAAAAATGAGTTTTTCACAGTAGGCAAGAGAAGCTATTTTCAAAAAAACGTTGAAATTTAAGCTGAGCCGTTCACGCCATCATTTTTTTTTTGACTTTTTATCGAGGCATCATCAGGGCACACATACCGAGAGACGGTAATGTGTGCGCGGGGATATTTGCTCTCGCCATTTCGGCCCATCTTCACGCCTTCCACCATTCATTTAGTGCGGCACAACATGCGATCAACACGTTCCTCTCAACTTTCGAGGGCTTCCAACCTTTTTTTTCTTTTTTCCGAGTGTTCTTCTGCTCTTATCCGAAAAGTTAATGAAAGTCTGGGCCGTCTTCTAACCTTTGAGCTGCCTATAAACTTGCTCAAAAACTCACTGAAGGTCTAAACGAATTTTTTCAATTGTCATACCACCCTACCTGCGAGTTTTTTCTGCAGGTATAATTTTTAAAGTGAATATATAATGCTTTTAGCGTGCTTCGGCTTAAATTATACTTCATCTGGTTCAAAAAAGTGCTTTAGCAGTTTTACATAGAAATCCAAACTTTCCTATTTATTTACTCCGATCTTTAGACTTAAAGTCTTGAAGTTAGAAGCACGCGAAAAAAATAATTAGGAAATATTTTTGTGAGTTTAAATTTATTTAAATTTATTTTTTCAAAACAGGTTCAAGACTGTCTTTTTTTCCCAGATTTTCGCAAGTGAACTGGGTTCTAAATCTTGCGAAACAACTAACTTTTATTTCATCTTCAAAGAGAAACCTTTTCTCTTTTTTCTAGATGTTTTTCGCTTCTTTTCGAGTCGAAAGTTAATGAAAGTCGGGGCTCGAAGAGTTCACAGAACCGCGGAAATTCAAAATGAGAAGTAGGCTTCCATTTGGTCAAAAAGATCAATATTTCTAGATTTTTCACCAGGATTTTTTTCAATTTTTTTAGCTTTTTCTTAGTTTCATCATAGTTCTTCAATTTTTTTCTTCCAACCTGTTTTTTTGTTTTTTTAGGTTGACCTTTTAACATTTAAAAAGACCTGATGAAAAATTTAAAAAAAGGAGATTTTCTTTTTCTTTTTTTTTAAAATTTCATGCAGATTGCGGAATGGCGAATAAACATTTGAAATGAAATGAAACTTTTTTGAAGATTATCCACAGGCGAAAATCAACTTTCGAAATTCTTCTCAAAAATGAAAAAGTCGTATTAAAGTTCTCTTGACGCCCTTCTTTCTCCATTCATAACCAAAAAACGTGTCAAAGGGTGGCTATTTTTTCCTGTTGTCGAGAGGGCGACAACGAAAAAAAAAGGAGAATGGGAGCATTGAAGAAAAGAAAAAAACCGTTTGCGTTCCTCAAAAAAACCTTCCTCGTCTTTTTTCTATTTTTCGATGATTCTTCAGTATCGTTTCGAGGGGAATTTCCTTTTTCTCACTTTAAATGCATTTCTTCCGTGGAAATGCACCTCAATTTGTCTTTTTTTTTCGCTGAGCTCACGAGAAAAAGCGCCGTTTTCTCAGTGCGACGGCGTTCCTCTGGGGTCCTTCTTTTCCTTTTTTGTTCTCATTTTCCGCCCAATGGGTTTTTCTCCAGCTTCATTATTCTTCTCGTTTTCCGCTTCGAATTCGACCCTTCGGAGTTCCTTTACGAACCTGACCTCGGCAGCCAAGTCTAAACTTATTCCTTTTTACTCATTTTCAAATTGAAAATTTTGGAATTGATAAGTGTGATCTAGCTACATTAAGCTAGGAGACCTATCGCTCGCCTTTTTTCGGAAGGTTTTTGAAACGATTTCTTTGGAAAGAAGCAGTTTTAAAACCACAGCCTTATTACCTTTTAATTGGAATATTGAGAAATATTTTCGAAAAATATCAACTCCGTATGAAAAAAAGTTTTTGATCTTATTGATAAAGGTAGAAATCACACAGCATTAGATATTTTTCTGTTTTATTTTTCATCAAAAAAAGCTATGAAACTGAAAAAAATGATTAGTCAATATCATTTTTTTGTTTTGAAAGAAAAATTTTATTGAAGTTGTCCACAGAATTAAGTTTCTTGAACCGCTAACAAGGAAGTCATTGGGGCTGAGAAATTCCTGAAAAAATTGCCAAAATATTCCTTGCTGTAAAAATTAAATTCCTCAATGTTTCAACCTCCAAAACTTTCAAGTTGTCCAGAAATGTCTGAAAAACTTTTCGAGATTTTTTTTTTCGAAAATTAGAAACTGTTGTATTCTAGATCTTCCAGGGTTTTTATCTGGCGCAAGAGATTCCCAAATTTTCGAGAAAAATAGTATTCTCTCTACATTTATTTTTGTTCGAACTTGGCTGCAAAATGAGACAAAAAGTATTTTTTGCAGTCTCCTTTTTTTGGCCTCGGGCCAATTTTAGTACAGTACCATAGCTTTTTCTCATCGAGGGATGTTGTATGAACGAAAGATTATTATCAACTCATTTAATGGTCGGATGTTTTTGTGGTGCGTCAGAAAGTTGGCATTTGTGTCGTCGGTCAGACATTTTCGACGGGGGAAAGAGATTGCAACAGTGCCCGGGGCTCTCGGCGGCACTCGAGTCTCCGACACTCCAACGTCTTCCAGTTCTGTTTGCCCCTCTGCCACTGACTGTTCTCACAACCGTCGTTTTTTCC